CGATGACGGTGACGATGACGATGACGATGACGACAACGATGATCGTGATGATGCTGATGCCGATGATGATGATGATGATGATGATGATGATGACGACGACGACGACGACGATGATGATGATGATGATGATGATGATGATGATGATGATGATGATGATGATGATGATGATGATGATGATGATGATGATGATGGTGGTGGTGGTGGTGGTGGTGGTGGTGGTGATGATGAGATACATTTGGGCCGTCTTGGGGCTGTCTTTACCTCGTGTGAAGCAGTCTTGGGGGTTCCTTGGGGCCCTCTTGGACTGTATTTGGGGCCTCTTACGCCGGCTGTGGGCGCTTTTGGGCCTTCTTGGGATTCTCTTTGCCGCATGGTGGGTGTCTGGGGGCCGTCGTGGGCCTGTTTTGGCGCCGTCTTGGGACGTCGAAGGGCCTTCTAAGGTCGTTTTGGGTTCCACGGGAGGTCCTCGCGGGCCGTCTTGGAGCCGTCTTGGATGCCTCTTGGGCCATCGTGGAGTCTTCTTGGGCCGACTTAAGCTGACGGCAGCCCGAAAAGGCGAGACTGCGACCATCAAGCAAAAACCTGATTGAAATCAATGATGCGTGTTTTCTTCGGAGGTTCTCTTGTAGCCAGCTTGAGCCCTCTTGAAGAAAGCATCTTGAACCGTCGTCATTTAATATTCGGCCGCCTTGCGGCCGTCTTGGGCCGTCATCGATGCGTCTTGGGCCATCTTGGTGTCTTTGGTTGCCTGCACGGGCCGTCTTGGAAGCTAGGGACGCATATCCATCGTCTTTAACGAGGGACCGTTACATGGGAGGCTTTGGAGCGCTTGGGAGCAGCGGCTGGGAATGCGGGATGTGCACGATCCTCGAGCGAGTGCGCGTGGGATGAGGGGCCTCGGAGTAAGCAGCCATGCGGGAAGTGCACAATCCTCGAGCGGGCGCGCATGAAATGAGGGCTCAGGCAGTAGCGGTCATGCTGGAAGTGCACCATCCTCGAGCTGGCACGCGTGGAAGAAGGGTTTAGGCAGGAGCTGCCACGCTGGAAGTGCAGCATCTTCGAGCTGGCACGCGTGGAATGGGGGACTATGCACTGGCTGTCATGCTGGACGTGCACCATCGCCGAGCGGGCACGGGGGAAGTGGCCTCGGTGAGCAGGGGAACGAACGCAAGAATCCGCGGGCAGAGGGAGAGGAGGTCCCCTGTCAGTACACGCCGCTCGTTGAAAGTAGGTATTTCTGAACTCCCAGACCCCAATCTACTCCAAGCGCCTTCCTACTTCAAGAGTCGACACGCTTTTGCTGTGGTTTGTTATTCTCTGGGTGGGCCTGGACCCAATCAATTTAATCCGCCTTCCTACTTCATGTTTTTGCCTACTTCTTCCGACCGACGTGTATCGAAAAAAACCCAACCAGGCAGCCCTTGGCAATCTTCCACGCCTCGACGTGCCAGGAGCCACGGTGGCCGATGGCGGAAACATCAACGGCAAGGGCTTAAGTCGGGCCTGTGCCTCCACAGGAGGAAGATTCAAGAATGGTCCAAAAATAGTCTGGGGACGCTTTGTTGACCACGTTTGAGCATGTTTGGGGGCATCCTTTTTTTCGCCCAAGATCCCCCTGTAGGGGACATGCCCGACCTAGGATTAGGCGGAAATCCACACCAGAGGCACCCGAAAAGTCCCGCCTGGCTCGCGAAATCGCCCAGGGTGCACGGCGGGTCCGGAGCCCGGGGCGGAGGCGGCAGCGCGGGCGAGGTCGGCTTCTGTCGGGCCACGGCGCGGGCCTCTGGCGGCCGCTCGCGACGATCCCGGCGCCCCCGGAGCGCCCTCGGCGAGGCGCGGCTGCTGGAGGGCGCCCCGAGGCGGGAAAGGCTCCAAGGCCCGACGACACCTCACGACGCCTCCAAAGAGCCGACGAACGCCTCGAAGACCCAGCGACGCCTCACGAAGCCTCCCAAAGAGCCGACGAGAGCCTCGAAGACCCGACGACGGCTCACGAAGCCTCCAGAGAGCCGACGAGAGGCTCCAAGACCCGACGACGGCTCACGAAGCCTCCAGAGAGCCGACGAAAGGCTCCAAGACCCGACGACGGCTCACGAAGCCTCCAGAGAGCCGGCGAACGCCTCGAAGATCCGGCGACGGCTCGCGAAGCCTCCAGAGAGGCGCCATCGCCTCGGCGCCCCCGCGCGTGACCCGTCCCTCGCCGTGCTTTTTTGTCCACGCCGCGAGGGGCCCGGGGCAGAAAGCAGGTGATCTCCCCCTCTTCTGTTGCTCTTCATGCCTCCTGCCTCCCCCTCCCCCTCGGCCCCCCTCCCCTCGTTTCCCCCCTGTCCTCTGCCCCCCTCGCCCCCCCTGCCCCTCCGCCTCCCCGCCACCTCTTGCCCCCGCTCCTGCCCCTCCTGCCCCTCCTCTTCCTCCGCAGCCATTTTGGCTCAAGCCATTTTGGCCCCCGGCTCTTTTGCCTCCCCAGCCTGTCACACCCAAGGGACAATCGGGCTGTCCAGACTGGCGGGACCGGCGGGGTCGGCTGGCGTCATGGGCGAAGAGAAGCCCATCAGGCAGAACGCCCCCAACACTAACGTGTGGATCGGCAACTTGCCGCCCACGATAGAGCTGGAGCAGTTCCAGGCCATCTTCTCCCGCTACGGCGAGATCGCGAGCGCGAGGGTGTTCCCGCCGAAGAAGGAGGGCAAGCTCGGCAGCGCGATGATGAGGGTCAAGTCGCAGGAGACTGCCACGTTCATCGTGGAGCAGCTCAGCGGGACGATCATCGACGGCTTGGAGACGGAGATCGTGTGCAACTACGCCGACGATACCAAGAGAAACGAAAAGGGCAAGGGCAAGGGCAAGGGCAAGGGTAAAGGCAAGGACTCCTGGGGCTGGGATGACTGGTCTTTTGGCGGCTGGGGCTACGATCCCTACGACGCTTGGTCGGTGGCCATGATGAAGGGCATAATGAAAGGCAAGAGCAAGAGCAAGGGCAAGTGGTGAGCGCTGGCAGTTCTCTGGAAAAGCCTGGTTCACGAAACAGTGCTCACACTGGGTGTCTTACTTGCTGGGGTCTTGTTGTTTGGGAGTGGGGCGGGGGAGCTAGATAGGCTATCGCCTCCTCTTCCCCCTCCCCTCCTCCTCTGCTCCTTCCCTGCTCCGCTCCACCTCTTCCCCCAGTCGGCCCCCCTGCCGGGCCAGGTTACTGGACCCCTTCCCCCGTCTTCTCATCGCGAGTCACGGCCCCGGGGCCCTTGGGAAGCCGAAGATTGCCAAACGCTTCTTTCCGCCTTGACTTTTGCTCCCCGTGAGCATGTCTGACTTCGGATCATCCGCCGTATTTTGGTAGATGTTCTGATTTACCCTGGAGGAAGGGAGATTAGGAGAAGGAGGAGGAGGAGGAGGTGGAGGAGGAGGAGGAGAAGGAGGAAGAGGAGGAGGAGGAGGAGGAGGAGGAGGAGGAGGAGGACGAGGACGAGGACGAGGACCAGGACCAGGACCAGGACCAGGAGGAGGAGGAGGAGGAGGAGAAGGGAGGGAGGGAGGGAGGGAGGGATGGAGGGAGGAGGGAGGGAGGAAGGGAGAAAGGGAGGAAGGGAGAATTGCAGGAAGGGAGGAACGGAGTGAGGAATGGAGGAAGGGAGGAAGGAAGGAGAGCAGAAAGGGAGGAACGGGGGATAGGAGGGGGAAAAGGAGGAGGAGAAGGGATGATAATGATGATGATGATGATGATGATGATGATGATGATGATGATGATGATGATGATGATGATGATGATGATGATGATGATGATGATGACGATGACGATGACGATGACGATGACGATGACGATGACGATGACGATGACGATGACGATGCTGATGATGATGATGATGATGGTGGTGATGATGATGATGGTGGTGGTGATGATGCTGATGATGGTTATCATGATGCTGCTGCTGCTGCTGATGATACTGTTTGTGATGCTGATGATAATGATGCTGCTAATGATGATTATGGTGATGATGGTAATGATGCTGCTGATGATGATGATGATCATGATGATCATGATGATAATGGTAATGCTGCAGCTGAACATGCTGCTGCTGCTGATGATGATGGTGATTGTGATGCTGATGATGATGCTGCTGCTACCGATTATGATGATAGTGATGGTGATGGTAGTTGTGATGATGATGATGTTGTTGATGTTGTTGATGATAATGATGATGATGAGTATGATGCTGATGCTGCTGATGATGATGATGCTGGTGCTGATGCTGATGATGTTAATGGTAATAGTGATAATGCTGATGCTGATAATGATTGTGATGGTGGTGGTGGCGATGGTGGTGATGGTAATGGTGATGGTGGTGTTGCTGTTGGTGATGACGATGATGACGCTGGAGGTGATGATGAAGATGATGTTGGTGATGAGGATGAGGTTGCTGGTGATGATGATGCAGCTGATGATGTGCATGATAATGCCGATGATGCTGCTGATGCTGGTGCTGCTGATGATGATAATACTGATGATGATGATGCTGATCATGACGACGATGATGATGATGCTGGTGCTGATGATGATGATGATGATGATGGTGATGCTGATGCTTAGGATGAACATGATGATGCTGCTGCTGATGATGATGAGGCTGCTGAACATGCTGCTGATGATGATGATTGTGATGGTAATGGTGGTGGTAATGATTATGATGATGAAGATGATGATGGTGATGATGATGATCATGATCATGATCATGATCATGATCATGACGACCACAATGATGATGATGATGATGATGATGATG